TAATGCTCCCCCCCATCTAGCGAAGGAAATACAGTCCCAACATGGTATTTCTACCTGAGCTCAGTGCCACATTTACCCGAATGAAATACCAGGTTGTCTTCAATTTGAGTACAAGACAGGTACTGATTTTAATTGTGGACTAATGCAGTAAGTGCTAACAGTAATGCCACATATCGCTGGCAGCAAAGCAAGTATCCGTGCCATGAGACACGAGCTGCGACAGGAGTGCCTTTAATCCTCTAGAGGAAGTATCACATCGGTTGTGAAGACGAAGACATTGAACACAGAAAATAACTTAAGGAAAACTGTTGCTGGTTCCATCGTCTCACATGCAACATGCCTTTCTATAAAATTTACTAAAAGCATTCTTAAAATAGACACACAGCATAACACAACGGGAAGAACAACCCTTCACTTCGAATAAACATGCGCATAGAGGGGACCATATATTAATAACCAAAGGCACGATAACAGAAGCACAGCAGTTTCCTCAACTATAATTATTATTTTTATTAGTGGGGTGAGACTGAGTCCATTAGATACTTCGGCCACTACTGCCCTACTGTACCAGCCCCAGATGACAGTGCTGGTGATTGTGGAGCAACTGATGGAGTGAAGATTCACAAGGGAAACCAAAGTACTCGGAGAAAGCCTGCTCCAGAGCCACTTTGTCCACCACAAATCCCATATGACAAGGCCAGTGCTCGAATCCGGACCTCCGCTGTGGTAAGCCAGAGACTAACCGCCTGAGTTATGGTGCGTCCTTTCATCAATTTTAAACATCTGGTGATGGTCATATCAGCCGAAATATTCAGTGAACATCTTTTAAATGTTCAAAGTTATGTGATGTGAAAATCTTTTAAAGTGAATAAAATTAGTAAGTTTCATAGAAAAACGTGTTTCACGTGAGGCGGTGGAACCAGTAACATTCGATACTAAGTGATGTGCAGCAGGATGCTACAGTGTAATATTATGAGGCTTAAGTAACTTAATGTGTAACATGATTAAAAAATATATGATCTTTCACATGTTTACTTACAAAACTACACGAAAGTGATAGATATATATATATATATATATATATATATAACATTTTATTTTACGTGGAGACATATTTCTTACGTCAGGATGTCTTAGATTCGGAGACATTTTACAGTCATGGAAAGCAGCATTCACCGGTCATTGTTATTCTTCAAAAAGGCCCAGAAGTCTTGGTGTCATCTTGTTGGCCTTGAGCAGATACATGGTGAAGGAATGGGCAGAAGCAGCGCTACACACTGCGCATGCTCTGCCTGCTCAGTATACCTCAACAGGTATGTAGGTGTCGCTTACAGTGTTCAGCTTTCAGTTCTTCTTTATTGAAATCCATCTGTAAGTTGCAGCACACTACGTAGGTGCTACACATGTATCGTACACCTATTTTCAAAGCCATTAAGTATGCAAAAGAAGAGATAAATTTCACTTAAACCTCAACGTCAACACCATTAGGCATACCATACAGTATTTTATGTTCACTTGTGTAACACATATTTATTAATTTTTGTTATATTAAAATAAATATTTATAATTAAAACTAAAGTTTCGATTTTTCTTCAAATTATCTATAACCACCATTCAAGATTTCTCTCACATCGAAGTAGAGAAATTGCGTCCCAAAAGAGGACCTTAATTACAGAATCTACTGTATGTACATTATAAGTTATATCGATGAATGGAAAGATTACTGTGAATGACAAAGCGGAAAAGACGTGAAAGGAGACAGTCACAGCTCGTCATACGGGAAAGATTCTTTCTCCCTACCTCGTCAGAAGGAAAAACGACAACCACACAAACCTCAGTGAGAACAGCAGACCTCCGAGTGAAGAGGCAAACCCGAAATATCTTGGTATCTTCTAACCACTATTGTAATAACAGACAAGGAATAAATAGGAGCCCCTTAGCATGTAGATATTACGGTATAATTTATCTATTCATTCACTTGTTATATCGTGTGTTGCGTGATCATGTTTGTAGAATTCATCCAAGTAACTGTCTAGGTGAATTTTTTCTATCATTTGTGGATCTACAGCTCTGTTTTGATCTGTGTACATAATCTAGATAATTTACGGTAATTTATTTGGACTAAGCCCTGTAAAGTGTACCGTGTGATCTACGAAGAAATTGTTTATTTTTATTTTGTTTTCGTCGCAGCGAAATTTGAAAGTAACCACATTGGACTTTGTTCACATTTCTTCCCAGAAAATGTAATAACTTTATAAATATCCGTACCTATATTTTGTGCTTCTTTATTTGCATATAGCAGCTGAAGTAGAGCGTCATGTCATTGGGCCGTATACATATGAATTCGTTGTAGCAGGATTGTTTGTAGCCATTAGTCGTTATGATTTATAAAACGTTAAATAACTGCATGAAGGACACTCCGTATTAAGAAGCCAATATTCTCTCATCTAGTGAACACGCACTCAGGTATTTATGGCAACCGAACTCTGATTATTGTGTTCACAAGTGTCGGCCATTGCCCCGATCCCAAGCCCAATTAATGTAATGCTCATTCTAGCCAGACTGTTACTAACATTAGTTAATGCTATTTCTCCAGCTGCGCCTAATTGTCCTAAATGGTGAGCTTCTAGCAGGTATACTGGAGCCCTTGTCACTACGGCGCACCAAGTCTCCGGACTGTATAGAGAGGAGACGGTCATCGCATGGAAACGGTAGCAGTGTTCATCTGAAAACAGGGCACTCCGCGAAATATTATGCGTGGCCTCCATCGTGGACAAAGTTATGAAGGTATTCACAAAAACATTTCTCGATTTGAATGTAGGTCGATAATGTGCCTATATTTTTGCTTGAGAAACACATGTTTTGCTTATCATGGTGGCCGCGCGGTCTGAGACATGAACCGTCTTCTCTCTCTCTCGAACACTGGATCATATGCTATTCTGTGTTTGTCTAGTCGTGTGATGGTAGGGGCCTTACGACGGGCTGATCATTCATCCAAGGAGTCTTACTCTCTGTGAAATATGATTACGAACCTGAAGAAGAGACAGTAGAGCCATTGATGAACGAATGAATAAAACACGTGTTTTGCTGAAGTATAAATACTGCAATTACTTGTTTAAAGCACTGGGAAACGCTTGTTGAGTATCTGCATAACGGACATTGACGAATATGGAGTTACTGGAAGACATAACATTAGTAGAGTTACTAGAAATTCGCTGTTGTATTGTCGGATGGAACAAAGTGCAGTAAGTGTGTAAGAAGCATATTTGTATCCTGCCAACTCGGCATATACAACAGCGCGTTAGTGTTCTTACTCATGTATTCATTTCAACGTTTTACAATTTACAGGAGCATTGCCCCTACACGTTTGACGTCACATAAGTATTTTCCACTTCTTGGGAAAGGAAGGACGCAGCTTTGGAAGCGCCTGTTGTGATATTTCTGTTGCCGCTGTTCATGTTGACGATTGCTGGACTCAAGAATTTAAATGTGTTTGCCTTTATCATTACCTCGTACCTTTCTGTTGATGTTGAGATGATGGGTTGGGAAGGTGGAAGGAAATGTTTGGGCGCCAGTAGTGGTTACAAATCTGTGGGATGCCTTCGGGTAAGAATAGGCAGCGAAATGAAGAGTTTAGGCTCTGGAATGCTAAAACAGAAATTCTGTGCCCGGGCCTTAACGGTCCCTGTTCTAGCAGGACAGCAGAAGCACTGCCGATGCACACACACACACACACACACACACACACACAGAGTGACTGCAATGGCTGGCCCTGGATAGCGACTTACGGTTGCTGTAACACAGAGATATGTAAATAACTGCAGTTAATGTGAAACAGTTCATGGCAATGTTCAGCCACACATAGACTCAGCTTCCACCAGAAATTGTCTCATCCACACGTGCCTTATTGAGCTAACTAAAAAAATAGGGCTTCTAAAAAATTTGCATCTCCCAATCAAAAGGAATTGCTAAGCGGTTTTAGCCTTTAAAATAAAAACGACACTTTGGACATCTCCTTGGGCCGCGCCGTAGCTCAAGCGGTTAGTCGCTGGCTACCCACCCGGGTAGCCGATCCCAGGTCTGGTCAAGTGGGATTTGTGGTGGACAAAGTGCCGCTGGGACGGGTTTTCTCAGAGTACTTCGGTTTCCCCTGCTAATCTTCATTCCACCAATTGCTCCACAATCACCCTCACCTATCATCTGGGGCTGGTACAATAGGCCAGAAGTGGCCGCAGTACAAGGGACTTAGTCCCACTCCACTATCAGTAAAAAAAAATACTGTTAAAGTAGCGAACCGAACAAAGAGTGAAAAATGAATTAGTTTATAAGAAATATAATGTAGCATCATAATCATTTTCGGCAAAACAACTCTATTTATGCATACCCTTTCCTAAGAAGTTTCTGTCTGTTTACACTCCTTTGGATTTCACATCAATAATTTCCCACAGAGTGCGGTCCAATCCTCATCCTGGGGAACCAGGACTTTGTATTTGTTACCCCCAGGCTCCTGCTTCCGTTTCCGCCGCCTTTTGCTACTCGCGGGGCTACGTTGGAGTTATTCTACCCCGCCTCCACACGGGATGAGAGAGTAAGAGAGATTTCAAAGACTTGCAGAGTGAAATAGCAATTCGTAGCGTGGAAGAAAGAATGCAAGAACGAAGGGATAGGAAGCACACAACATGTACTGCGAATGTTGGTCGTACAGATTTACGGCGTCCTGACAGAAGGCAGATCGAAAGGAGCCGGGGGACTTTTTAGTAATTGGAATTCTGTTACGCACGGTCAGTATTATTTATCGTTCCCTTGGGAACGTGATGGACAGTACGTTAGCAACCTTCCCATCCGGTTTCCAGAACACTAAGATCGATGTGGTTTGTGATAATCTCCTCTGGAGTAAGGTTTGGAATTTAGATATTGTTTTAATCAGCTGAGAGGTTATGGCTAGTATCTGAACTTCGTATCAAGGACGTCCAGATTTCAAATCTTGACTTTTGTTTCAGGTCTCAGGCCGTCAAGCGCTACATCTTAACAATATAACAGAAGAAGGAATTGTGCATCACAGCGACAACGACGCAGCAATCGAAACTGTCTTCAGTCCAGAGCGGAACGCTGCTCTCTCTGCAACAGATACAATCTAATATGTTACATTTAACGATCTTTAATGATTCAGAAACAACAAATCGTGTTCCTGTGACGTAGTGATGACGTAAGCCAGTCATGTTAGTAGTTCATGGTAACCCAGTAACTGACTTCGATGTCATTTCACTCTCAGACAATGTCACATTCCTTACAGAGGCAAGCTGGCCAGTGATAACATTGCCAACCACAGTACTGACCACTTCGTTAGTGTCCTCAGTGCCATTAACGAACGTGACAAGTACGTGGGGGCCTAAACGTGATCCGCTGTACATCGTAGTGCCCATAACTGTGCTGTACGTGATGATCCTGCTGACCGGTTTGGTGGGCAATGTGAGCACGTGTGTGGTGATCGCCCGCAACAAACACATGCACACAGCCACTAACTATTACTTGTTCAGCCTCGCTGTGTCGGATCTGCTTCTGCTGGTGTCAGGTCTTCCTCAGGAGATGTATTATAACTGGTCCAGATATCCGTATGTATTCGGCGAAGCGTTCTGTGTTCTCCAAGGTTTTGCTGCCGAAACGTCGGCCAATGCCACAGTACTGACCATCACAGCATTCACCGTGGAGCGATACGTGGCCATCTGTCATCCTTTCCAGTCGCACACCTTATCAAAGGTGAGTTCAGATCTACTTCCTTCTTAGGGAGCCCATACACGTACTTGTCTGACTCGCGAGTCCGACTCGGCTCGCGTTCCAATGAGCCAAACTCATACGTGTGTGTGTCGCCACGCTGATACGTGTGTGGTGAAATTAATCCGAGCCCGGCTCCTCGCCAAGCCAGACTCGTACGTGTATAGGCCCCTGAATCTTCAGTCCTTCAGTTGGTACGTAATTGCTCTTCATCGTAATAGTGGCCGAGAAGATACATATCGGTAATTAACATGTCAATTAAAATACAATTTTCTCTCCAACATGATACTCAAATCTTTTACACATTCGGTACGCAAAATTAAAATGTCACAAATATGGCACTTCAATTAGATAGTATGCTTCATACAAGAAAAGGAAATGACACTAATTTTCCCAGTGTTAAGGTCCATGTAATTATCAAGATACCACTTGTCTACCGCATTAATATCCATTTGCAAATATGAAGGTCGCGGGATCGGATCCCGATAAGGTGGATTCTTTCAACTGACCTTATCCTTCCAGCCGCATTATGGCCCTGGAGTCGACTCAGCCTCTAACAGAAATGAGTATCAGGAATATTTTGGGGGGTAAAGAGTGGCCGGCGCGTAAGGCTGAAAACTTTACCGCCATCTAGGAGCTGACTGTGTATAAAATGTGGGAACCTCAGCATCTCACAACCCTATGGGCCTCCACGGCCTGTTACAGGGATAACTTTACTTACTTTCCATGTATATTCAGGGTGTCCCAGGAGGAATGTGCCAAACTTCGGGAGGGTGTTCCTTATGTTAAAGTATACCGATATAACCCAAAACACCTACGTCAAAAGTTGAACGGTTACGGAGATAATGCCCAGAGAAGTGTGAAACTTTGACCGGTGTTACACACTTGTTGATTATAAAATACACATTAAAACTGGCAGGAATATGTGGTTTCTGTAATGTTAATAACGTACGTAACATCAAACTAACTTGTGAGTGACATGAAGCCATTAGATTGAACTACAAAAAACTCGCACGCCATGTCAAAATTGTCGTTAAGAGTTCCAAGCACTATACATGACACATGAATGGCAAGCGCTGACGTAACATTGCTGCGCGTTCTGGTATGCGAGTGTATGGGGCTAACGTGAGCTGCCATCACCACACTCAAGGACAAACGTAGATAAGAGATGCCAGCTGACAGGTACAGTGCGTGAACTCACCAGAAGATCACACTTTTCTCGGGCCATTATCTCCGTAACCGTTCAACTTTGGACATAGGTGTTTTGGGTTATATCGGCATACTATAACATAAGGAACACCCTCCCGAAGTTTGGCACATTCCTCCTGGGACACTCTGTATATGTCATTAATAAAAATATTAAGTAAAAGAGAACACCACAAAACATAGCAAATGGCGAAGAAACGTAATACTGTCACGTGATCAGAGCGACTATAGCCGGGGGTTGGTTTTCGGAATCGGATTTATTTAACACTTATAACCAGTAAATACAAGTAAGAATTATGCTCTCACTATTCTACACACTTCACAGTTCGCTGTAGGATACGCTTGATCTTCTCAGTCTGTTACAGTCTTCAACAGCCGTTGCTTGGTAGCGACTTCAATTCCTCTTGTTTCCCAAACTGTCCCCTACCTCATCTACCAGCTTCTCACAGCAACAGCGCGCAACATCTCAACCCCAACCGTTATCTACCTCACTCACTCACTCCTCACATGCTTGTTTGTGGAGTCGTTACTTAGCAACGGCTGTTGTGGAGTTTCTTACTTCGCTGCCGTTGCCTAGTAACAGGCCTAAATTCCACAATACGCATGAAACAGAGTATTTCACTTTCAAAATTTGTGTTTCCAGATATGTACATATACCATATACAAAATTTCCTGAATGACAATATTACATTAAATTTTAGAGAGAAGACTTTTTTTAAGATAGAACCAGTTGAATATATTATATCAGCCTCAGTTGATGCGATAATTGCTAGACGTTTATTGTAAGTCACTTGGTATATGCCTTGCCCATCTGTCACTTGCAGACAGTCACGGCAGCCGAGCGGTCTAAGGCATGAACTGTCTTCGCTCGATCGGACGCTTTGGATCGTGGATTCGAATCCCACTCAAGGCATGGATGTTTGGTGTGTGTGTTTATTCTGTCTTTGTGCTGCCCTCTGTTTAGGCAGCGGCTTTGCGACGGGCTGATCACTCGTCTAAGGCGTCCTACCATCTGTGAAAAAATGATTACTGAACTGAAGAAGAGGCCTGGGACCTGAATGGGCTGGAAGAGCCATTGAAAAAAAAAGTCCGTCATCTGCAAGGAAAATTTAATAAGAGAGGACTAATTAAATTCTCCGTTCATCAGAATGCTGGTTCAAGAGTTGAGTGCTCAAATGCGGGACATCGCTTCAATTAAATTCTTTAATAATAATGCAGTGCTTCATTGTATTGTGCTGAGAGCTAACAAAATCAGAATATGCAGTGATGGGAAGAGAACAGAAATATAGTCAAATACACACATGTAAGATACTCTACTGCCGGCAAATGCAGGACAAAGCGTAAGTTTATAATCGAGGCGATGAAACCCTGAAACTGCTTATTAACCAAATTAAGCAGGAGACTAGTGGCCACACACGCTGTCGTTGTTACATACTCCATTCGTGGCCAAGGTGCAGCGAACTGAACGCTCACTACGGGAAAACGAAGTTTGTAATACTTCTGACTTGAATTGTGATACTAGCAGCTTCTACAAGCGAAGGGTAATGAAGGTTTATAATTCTTTTCGATAGTTTATATCAATTGCGAGCTGACTCAACAGCCGAACGGCCAATTGTAAAGCAAGAACGAGCAAGGAGATAAACAATATAAACCCGTGCAGCCAAGGAGAGACAAAACAAGGTAAAATGTGCCATTAGACTATAACTTTTCGACTGATATAGTCACACCAACCAAAATACAGGCAGGAGAAGTATACAGTGTATACAGTCATTCTGAGTCGTAGTCGGTACAGCGACTGCCTACGGGCTGGACGTGAGGAGCCGGGATAGCGTAGTCGGTACAGCGACTGGCTACGGGCTGGACGTGAGGAGCCGGGATAGCGTAGTCAGTGCAGAGACTGGTTAGGGGCTGAACGACCGAAGAGTTGGATTTCGCGTCGCGGTAGGGTTAAGAGTTTATCTTCTCCATGTTGTCCAGAAGGGCTATGGGGTCCATCCATCCTCCTATCCAATAGGTACTGGGGCTCTTTACCAGGGGGTAAAGCGGTCTAGTCGTGAAGCTGACCAGTCACTTACAATGGTGCCGAGGTCAAGAAAACGTGGGTCCATAAATCAACTCCCCCATACGTCTTAATGGCGTAGTGCTTAATTAGTTAAGCACAGGAACAACTTTTTTTTTCCTTGGCACTACAGCCCCAGTGGGCCTAGGCCTACCTCCATGAACTTCTCCGTTCACTTCGGTTTTTCTAGATTTACACATTCGGTAGGACTTCTTGGGCGGGTGATCAGCTCGTCGCAAGGCCTCTACCTGTACACAAACACAGAAAAACTCACACAAACAAACTAAACATCCATGCCTTGAGTGTGATTCGAACCCACGATCCCGGTTTCCAAGCGAGCGAAGACAGTACATGTCTTAGACCACTCGGCTACCGTGACCGGCCAGGAACAACTTTACCATTTTATAATTATATTCTTCTATTTCAGTACTTACAAAAATCGGACATCTTATAACAGGCGAGCAGTGTAAATATGTTTTCACGTGTAAGGGCTATGCGTGACGAATAATTGTGGGTTTTGGATTTCATGATTGGATTTATTTGTACTTTCTTTAAAATACACCTAAGTGAAGGAAATAGAGCGCTATTGCTGATTTACTCACTTCACGAATCCCTAGGAAATATTCTCTAACATAGAAACTAGCATTTCAAATCACTACGAAGTCTTCCAAAACTCTTACCATCTACTGCCGCTAGCCATATTGCGATTGGCGGTCAGTCAGTCGGTAAGTCTTTGTGTCGAGTCCCATCTGGGTCTCATGACCTGATATTTATTACAGTTTGGTAGTTACGGTTTTGTTTTTGTGGGGCGCCCTTCCCAGTGCAGTCTTTCTCGGGATTCGCGACCATATTTTACTGTCTCAGAACTGAGACATACTTTTCGTCGCGTCCTACGACTCGCAGTGTCACGGTGGAGATTTTCGACCCCACCTCCACGCGATTGAATGACTACCTTTTACTGTCTCTAGTTATTCAACGCCTCTGTTGTCCGAATTATTGTGTAACCTAGCAACTAATTGTACCATGGCCCTCAGAGAACACAGTTCCCATTACTGCATATTCGCGGGAACGTTATCAACCATTTGCCTTGAAATGGGTTGCATTAACCCGTTGTTCTAGTGTTGGGTGTTGGACCGTGTTTACGGAGCAATGCTTTGATAAAATCCGTTACAATATATAAAACTAAATTAAAAACTTAAAAAGAATGTAAACGCCAGGAAATAAATAGGAATGAGAAAAGGAGAATTATCTGGAAGCGAACTGCCGTATTCAGTGGCTGAGAATCAGCAGGCGCTGTTCCAAATTCTTGCATCATTTAATGAATCATTACTCGCATTACAAGGGAGAACTCTCTCATTTACTTAGTGAGGACACGCAGATAACATAGTCCGTAATAAGACAACAGTTAATAAGAATTGAAAACAAAAGTAACAACAACAGTAACAAGACTAGTAACATACTAATTCGACGATAATCTGAAATCAGTACCATTTGTAGCATTTCATTAGACACAAAATGGCGGAACTGTGTATGACCTTCAGTTTCTCCTGACAGTTCCTAAGAAAATGAGTGCAGAATCTGAGGTTCTCACAGTAGTGCTTATGAATTGTACTATCTTCTGGAATATAACGCCACGTAGTCCGTTGAAAATCTACAAAAGTTTCGGAGGAACTTTTCGCCTCCATCTTCAAGTCTCGAAGAATAAGCCCATCGACTCTGAAGATGGACGCGACATGTTCCTCCGAAACGTCAGTTGACTTTCGACGGACTACACGACGTTATATTGTACAAGTATCCAGGCGAGTATAACAAACAACACGTTGTGTCCAGTTGTCGCGGGCAGTTCGTCTCATCCTGGTCATCTGGCTGCTGGCGATGGGCTTGGCGGTGCCCCAGGCGTTGCAGTTCGGGGTTGTGTACGAGCATCTGCCGGACGGACGGGTGCTCGACGACGAGCACACGGTCTGCGCCGTCAAGCGAGTCGTTATCCCACACTCCTTCGAGGTGTCCTCTCTCGTGTTCTTCGTCGCTCCCATGACGCTGATCTCGGTGCTGTATGCGCTCATCGGCCTGCAACTGCGGCGCTCCAGTGTGCGAGGAGGAGGTGAGGGCAGTGTGCGCCTCAAGACCGGAGTGGGGGGGTACAGCCCCCAGCACCAAGATGAGGACGGCCGGAAGAATTTCTCCAAAAATGCACAGATCAAGGCCACAAAGCATGTGGTTAAGATGCTTGGTAAGTACACAACCGTATCTTTATGAGTCATTAGATTCGAATTTCGGTCTATACTACTAGAAGTGTAGATCACAGTGGCCACGCTGTCTAAGGCATGGACTGCCTTCGCTCGCTCGAACGCTGGGGTCGTGGGTTCGAATTCCACTCAAGGCATGGATGTCTATGTGTGCGTTTAGTCTGTATTTGTGTCGTCCTGTGTGTAGGTAGCGGCCTTCCGATGGGCTGATCCCCCGTCCAAGGGGTCCTACCGTCTGTGTAAAAAAGATTACGAAACTGCAGAAGAGGCCAGGGGCCATCAAAGAGCTGTAGAGCCTTTGAGGAATGAATGAATGAAGAATGAATGACTGACTGAGTGAATGAATGAATGAACTAGTATAGGCATCAATGCTGAATTTATGAATGTTGATTAAGTATATTCAGCAACGTTAGTGTGCATGCTACTCATAGGATCACACCAACATTCTGAAGTTATGAAAAGTAGAAATACGTTTCAGGTGCTCCCAACACACACAAATGTATGAAAATGTAGATATCCAAAATACTGAAATATATTTCCATATGGTACTTATTTTAGTGATACAACATGAAGGCTGCTACCAGTGGTTAGCTGATTCGAGTGCGCCCCTATTTAGGTCACCTGTTCACTGACATTTCGCGTTGGAATACCTGTTAATCCACTTATTTATTTTACGAGAAATACAGTGTTACATTTAATTTATTTTGGTGAGGATAAAGTCAGCATAATAGCATCACAATAATGTCATATGTCACGGAATTATTTCTGAAAATATCATGTCAACAAGTCACTGACGTTCAGTATTTCCTTGTGAATCAGTAATTTTAATTTTCACACAAAGGATAAAGATAATAATAAGTTCGAAATTTATGTCAGATTTGAGGTTCTCAGAGTGACAGCTATGAAGGATTTATATTCTGGAACATAGCGCCGCGTAGGCCGGTGGAATTAAACCGAAATAAGCAAACCAATGTTAATAATTGCACCTAAAAAATATTGTACTTACTTTAGACCAGATTTACGCTTCCAACTTTCCACTTATTAAGTCACACTTCAGATGGGATAAACCTCTAATTTCTGACGTGAGATACCCTTAAAGATTTGGATCTTTGTTAATACTTTCACACCCTTCTACAGATAAATCCAAACGGAGTCTATGAAAGAAGGTTGATACATAGGCGCTTATGTTCTCTACATTTCCGAGCTCCCATCTGCAGGAGTAATCTCTGAATTTAGTTTCTCTTGAAAGGATTCAGTTTTCACTTTTTGGAATTCTGTTCCGGTCGCTGTTATAACTCTTCAAAATATTTGCATAAGTAAGAGAGGTACTGGGCCCTGCCAGAGCTCAAGCGGTTAGTCGCTGGCTTCCCACCGCGGCGGCCCGGGTTCAATCCCGGGTCTGGGCAAGTGGGATTTGTGGTGGACAAAGTGGCGCTGGGGCAGGTTTTCTCCGAGTGCTTCGGTTTCCTCTGCCAATCTTCATTCCACCAATTGCTCGACAATCACCCTCACCTATCATCTGGGGCTGGTACAATAGGCCAGAAGTGGCCGCAGTACAAGGGACTTAGTCCTACCCCACTTGCAATAAAATAAAGAGAGGTACTGAACGAGAATCAGTGACGAGAAGAGGGAAGAATAGAAACAGAGTTTAGAGAGCAGGCTTGTGTGCTAAGAGATTACACTGAAAGCCAGGGCCTTGAGAAGCATTAATAATAATAGTCTCAGTAAATCAAGAAATAAATACACTTTTCATATTATTGATTAATTCTCTTGTCCTCATTATAGGATGAGCAATTAGCTCAAACAGATTGAGGTATACAGGTTTTCCCCCCGATGTAGGTATCGTCGCTTTGACGAACGTAACAAGACATTCATGTAATAAGAATGAACAGGAACTTGCTCTTGCAACGCTTATTAGGAAAGAACAGCGCGACTTCACAATCTGCAAGTTCAGCTCACAAAAGAGGACAGAGAATATTGTATAATGGTAAACCATTGGAATGCCGGTCACGGTAGCCGAGCGGTCTAAGGCATGCACTGTTTTCGCTCGCTCGGAAGCCGGGATCGTGGTTTCGAATCCTACATAGGGCATGGATGTTTGTGTGCGTTTTTCTGTTTGTGTGCAGGTAGAGTCCTTGCGACGAGCTGATCACCCGCCCAAGGAGTCCTACCGTATGTCTAAGATTTAGTAAACCGAAGTGAAACAGAGAGTTTCATGGAGGTACACCTAGGCCCAAATGAGGGCTGTAGCGCCAATGAAAAAAAAAAAAGCATTGGAATGTGTTTTCACAATGCCAAGAAAAGTTAATTATTAACCTGTCCGAGCCGCCGGAAATAATTTGCCTTGCTTCCTCCTTCGTGTGCATTCCTTCGTAATACTGGGGAGATGTATGTTTCTGATATTCCCTTTTATGTAATCATTGTTCTGGTTCATAAAATATAACAAGACATTTTACCTGCACTCTCTATAGAAAGCGTTTAACTTGTGTCCTTCTTCCTAGAAATAAATTAACATTTTCTGACTAGAATTATACATATAACTCAGTCTTCGCCATTTTTTATATAGTCCCTGTTGCCTCCCCCCCCAACACGAATTAAATCGCTTGTATTAATGTTTACTTAGAAAAGCGTGTCCTCATTTCTTCATATTGTTGCCAAGACTGGAACACTATCGAGCAGACTAGTGTAGCTGTAACGCTCTGGAGATAGAATTTTGAGATATGTTCGAAACTCCACCGCGGTTTTCTCAGTCCCTCCGGGCAAATTCCGGAACAGTACCTCGATTAGGCCATGGCCACTTCCGAATTATTTCCTTTCATTACGCGGCAATCGCCCAGGTAGTGTACGCTCTGTAGTCTGAGATAAGTCAGTGTCGTGAAACCACAAAAGGAGGAGCCCGGAACACAGCAAGGCACCACCCGTCGCTGTCCAGTAAATAGAATTGATGCGTTGTATTCGTGAGGTCCTAGCTCAAACCTCGACCCAGAGAGAGTTATCACAACTGAGAGGTCTCTCTGTTTTCCTTGGTCCATCCAGGCAATGCAATTATGGTGCGATGGATCCTTCCCACATAATCTCAAATGCATTGCCCACCAATCATTCTATAAATCAGCATTCTACTGCCACGTGTTTGGGTGACTTATAAAACGGGGTTTGCATAGGATATAACCGCCCTAATGGCCCACAAGCCTAAATGGCATTTTATTGAGAGTCATTCTAAGTATTTTATAATAATTACGCAGAGTGTGACATAGCTCATCTCTTGCACACACGAAGCGGCCTATTTTCCAGATGGACCACACACACACAGAGACGCCAGATGACCCCCTGGTGATTTAGTTAAGCATTTCTTGGAATTTTGGTTCCAGAGTCGCTCGGCGACTCACTTTGGAAATTTGACTCTTGACAGTTTCTGCTAGTCTTAAGTCAGACGAAGGCGTGCCAGGAGGGGACGCTATGGCCAGCATACATCATTANAAAAAAAAAGTGGTGGACCAGCTAGGAACAGTTGTAAGTGTCAGCACTTGGTGAATTGTGTATGTGAACTGTGTTTTGTTTTACGCTTTCTTCACAAAAAAAATAATAAAGTGTCCTCACATGCAAAGTTCAAGCAGTGTATCATTAGATGCTTCTGCCTCCCTGTCAGAGCGAGGCCCGTACAAAAGATCCTGAGACAGTCTCATCTCTATCTTCTGAGGTAAGAAAATTCACCTGTGTTCCTTTGGCAAAGGAGCATCAGCAACAGCCGCTGCAGGTGGAAGCCAGGTGAAGGAACAGGAAGGTAAAGGTGGACGGCGACAACAAGAAGGTGACACCCAACGTAAAGGGCACTATAGAGAGAGCGGTTACAAGGATTTTTTGATCACTCCTTTACAATCACTCGTAATCACAATGAATACTTCTTCCTGGACTGCCGAGAACTCGCTTCAGTCTGATTCTTGACAACTCACTATTTGACACCTTTCATCTTCTTCCGACTGAACAATCCACACGAAATATCTTCACTTCCAACTTAACTGTCAATTAGTCGAGGCTTCTCCTTATGTAATCTCGGATCGGACCACAACACAGAAAATATACCCGTTGTTTAGCAGTGGATATATGCGAACCACATGCGGTGGTTGACGTCATGAATAGTACCGCGATGCTGTTATGATGAAAAGTTCTGTTCTGGGGAGTCAGTCGATTACAACTGAACGTAATGTTTTTCCACGGAATTGGAGAGAAATTTAGTTAAAAATACATTCACTTCGCCTCTAGGTATGGGTGTTAAGATAACGTAAAAGTTGTTGCTGACTTTGTGCAATTCGCTGATAAATTTATATCCACGAAGGAAATACCTTCTGACAGAAGACATGAGATTGAATTTGTGTAAAACTTCCCAAAATGTTGAACATTGCATCCGATGCTAGTTAGGTCAGCTTCATTCTCTGATCCAAACTCTGCTTTAGAAATACCAAGGCTAATTATAAATAAGCAATTCAGTGCTTCTTGACAAACCAAATAAAAATATATTGACGTGAATTTAGTGATTGACAATACTATTACACATCAATTAAATTCTACAGATAAATAGAGTGGCTAATTTACTTAAGAACTCAGCGTAGACATCAAATTTATCTTTAGCCGGAAACATGCATCTTCACTATTAGTTTATACTCCGCTCGCCTGTCACATTCAAGGCCATGCAGTTTCAGTGTTTACGTAGCACAGATGAAAGCGAAAATGAGAGTTAGAAATAACATGTGGAACCATCGGTATTCCAAGTCAGAAGGCAGCAGTAAGAAATTATTGCATTTTATATTTCATCTGTGCAAGTAAAATAATTCAAACTTTTCCTTGGCGTGCCAGCCAACAGAAAAAAAATCATCCTATGACATCCACCTGTTTTGAATAACTTTGAGATTTAATAATTTAATAATAATAATACTATCTACATATCTATCCACATATATACTTGGGCAGCTCCGAGGTCGGAAATTAT